TAAGTATTTTATTAGATTTATTATTAATTATTTAAGCTTTTTTGAAAATTGAAAATGTAGTTTTCTTGTCAATGCTCTGCTCCCAACGCATCGCGATGCGTGTATTCATGGTATTTTATGTGGTCTGCTACCGATCTCCCGCTTGGCCACGACCAGCCACATTGTGTTATTTTTACCGAGCCCTACCCGGTGTAGTGCCGCATTACCGTTTGGATAGGTTGGAAAATAAAAGAACCAGATCAAATACATACATCTCGAATTAAGATTGCCACTACTTGCCTCCCCACAACCAGGATATGTTACGGCTCCTTGATAGGGTTATGAAGTGCTCATGATGGCGCAACGCGTGCAACCAGGGAGTCATGACATCACCTGAATTCACCAAGATGCGCGAGTAGATAGACATGGACCCTCGATGATGAGATTGCCCTGGATTGGCGTGACGTTGGCCTACTTCAACTGGGGCCGAGACTCGGACCCCTATTCAGCTATTTACGGCATGGCTGATGCTAGTCGACGCCGGCCTTGGTTAAACTCGTCCATTGCGATGGTATTCGCCAAGAGGCAACCTTGTATCAATGCTGTACAGAGGATTCCTAGCTGCTACAGCAGGAGGGACGACGGAGCACTCGTCATAGGAACAAACGTTGGCCTCCTACGGCGGAACTTGTCGACAGCTATTTCATTCGTGAGGTAGAACTTGGAACTGTCTGCGATTCGGGGAATGGTCCTTGTTCTTCTCCATCCTAGCTCCTTGCTTTAGCAATTCCTTCAACCGATGCGGCGCTGGCTCTCTGCGATACCACCAAAACAAGCCATGTTTTGTTTCTTGCCTGCGCTCCAGATCGGACTGGCTGATCCCGGACAGCTGTGTAAATGTCGTTCGCTGGGCAATGGTTTGACATGTTGAACATCTGGCCATGAGCTGTGCAGGTCTTTGAACCCGGCGAGATGGTAGCATTGGGAAGTGTCTCACCGCGAGATTGATTCATCTACGCCTTGAAAGCAAGTCATGTAGGCTGCTTACAATCACTGCGCCCATAAGCATTGCATCCAGTACTGAGAATCTTTTCGAAAAGCGCGCATATGCTGACCTTTGCTGTCTTGGCGTTACGAGAGCCTGTGGATGGGTTGGATTGGGCTACTTTTCAGAGGGGAATCTTGCAAATAAGCAATCATTGGGACACGGAAAGAGACGAGGTCAAGGTGCCGGGAAGAAGATCGAAACATTCTAGGTAGTTACATGGTGCTCGCGTCGAAGCTGGGAGGGTGCTACGCAAAGAGACTAGATAGTGGTATCGATGGCGAAGAGGCCCTCATCGTCATCGCAAGGAGGCAAACGGGTGTTGAGTATCATTTTTGGCGCTATTTAGCAACCACGTCATGATAGACGTATATCGTAGAATGCGATCAAGTACGAGTTCTCAAAATTTCAGTCTTGTATAAACGGTTGAGCTAAATAGCTGATCAATCTCTTGTAGGCCTAATATAAAATACACAGTACGCGGCATCAATGACTACTTCAACCCCATTCGTCGTTTCCGAAGAGAAGCAGTGTCATCGCGAATTAAAATTTCCATGCTATATTCTCTCACATGAGTCGCAACCGATATATCTCCAACGACTGCATGACGAGTAATCTTTGTAAAATGCTTGGTCGGAGGTGCCTTCCCGAGAGATACCAGACTTGGAACAGCCCCAAAAGAACGAGGAGTCGAATCCGAGCCCAACCCTACCGTCATATCTCCATAGCGCTGCTCAAAGGGCATTGACATGTCCATCTGACATGTAATGGGAACCTCCAGCGCATCTGTAACCACCACTTTGCTTAATCCAGTGATAGCCGGCGGGACATTTTCCCAGAGCCATTAATTTTGCCTTCATGGCTGCCTCTTCTTTCCTACGCTTTTCTTCCTCTATCAACTGCCGCACAATGCGATGCCGGTTCGCGTCTGTAGCAGATTTCTGCGCCTCTTTTAATTCGCGATACTCTGTCTCTCGGCGTTGCTCCTCGGCCCAATCTCGTTGAAGCTGCTCCCAAACTTCATCACTTACCCCGGCATCCCGAATGCCCAGGCCATCGCAGGTCAATTTGTCTTGGTCGAGCTCTTCCGCAATGACCACGTCATCTGTCTTGTTCGTGTGCTCTTCTTCTTGCTGGGATTCGGTAGATGTGTTACTCTGGCAGGGTACGGGCGGTCGTGAATCTTCGCGCAGTTGGACGTTCGCCAAGCCTTGGCTCAGGCCTGTCACCGCAGCATCCTGTTCCATTTTTGAGCGTTTTAGAAGCATCGCATTGAGTGCTTCGCTGACCTGATCTTGCTCGACCTTTAATGACTGAGAGGAAAGATCCACATTGCGAAAGATGTCCTTGGCAAGCTGCTTAACATCCCTCGCGCTGGCCCATCCCTCGACCCCTGCTAGTGACCGAAACAAGTCCAGAATCTTCCTTTCAAACACTTTGGATGGGCATTGCAAGCAAGACAAGTCTAGTAGTTTTCCCTTTTGTTCAATTTCTACCTTCCTCCTAGCCAGCGAGCTTGTGAGCAGCTTGAGGCAGTCCCCAGCGCTCAGCGGGTCAAAGTCTATCGTCTCAGGGAACCGGCTTGTCATTCCAGGATTAACAGACAAAAGATTGTTGATGTCTTTGACGTAGCCGGCCAGGATTATGATGAGCTTGCCTTTGTACTTCTCTTTGGTGACCGAGTCCACGAGCTCGTCAACTGCTTCCTTTGCGAAGCCCTGTCCTGCGAGTCGGTAGGCCTCGTCAAT